CTTTATTGAAATATTGGTTATCCGGAGGCTAAATCACAATGCAACAAAAATTGTTGTAATAGTCCCTCTTGCACAAATCATTATGCCAATTACTGATACAGAATTTAGAACATATTTGTTTTTTAAATAATTTTTACATTAACCCCTTAACCGCCACGCACGAGATATGCCGGGCGATACTAGTTTTCAGAGCAACCGCCACGTACGAGTTATCTCGTGTTGACGTAATCAGCTGTTGTGTTTTATTTTTAACAGCTCACTTCCCGCCTTATCTCTGATATACGTACGTAAACAAGTTGTTGACAGTGCTGCTTGACTAGTGCTGCAATCTGGTGGATTTTAGTGGTATTATAGGTCAGTAATGGTCCCGATCAGTTCCGTTCGTAGTTTCAGTAAAACTCGTGCTTGCGGAAGCTTACGTAATGCTCACGTACATTATGCGTGTCATTATAATTGTGATTTTTGGTGGTTATTTTCTTGGTAGTGTTGAATAAGTAGTAAATATTAGTCGTAATGGCTGGTGACATGCTTGAGGATGACGATTTATTAGAGTTGTAGACTTTATTGTAGGCCTAATTTTTATTATAGGCCTGACTCAAGAAACCCCCGAACCCCCCCCCCCCAATCTCAAATTTTAGTATTGTTAAAGCTTAATGTTTTTGAAGATGTCTACAAACAACATTGATAACTATTTTCTTTAAAAAAAAACAACTGGTACAATTTTTTAAATCACAAGTAAAAATCGTCAAAAAACGGCAAAAATAAGTGGCAATGGCGGATTTTGACTAGGCTAGTTAGACGGCGGTTAAGGGGTTAACTATAAATTTTTCTCTTTTCTTTGTCTAAGTTTCTTACTCCATTGACAAGTATGAATAGAAAAATGCCGTATTGCTTCGAACCGAGTTGCATAGATTCGAATCGAAAACATTTTGAATTGAATCATTGCTTCGAATAAAAAATTTGTTGCTGCTTCGCACACCCCTAGTTAGGAGCAAATAAAAGGTTTATCAGATGTTTAATTATAACAAACCCATTATCAGTCCAAAACTCATTCTCATTCTTTTAATTCTTTAAGACTTCCATTATTTATTACTACGATAATTATAAACAAATCCCAAAACAATTTTATCATGGAAATTAGTTCTATAATAATAGTTATAAAATAGTTCTATATAAATAATGGGCTATTGAGTTAAAGCATTTACAGCCTTCCCATCCACCACACTACACAGTTCAGTTAGAAACCATCGTATATTGGCTGCAAAATTCTAAATTCCCTCTCTCTGCACATGACAAACCTATCATGAAAAGGGAACCTTGGTACTGGTTTGTAAATGAACCAGTGTGCTCAATCAAGGAGGAGTTTTTGACCAAAGAACATAGGCATGGCAAACCAAAGAAACTACCTAAATAATTATTGTAAAGCAAGAGAAATTTCCTATTTTTGTATTTTGTCGCTAATGTATTTCTTGAAGTACCTAATTACTAATAAAGATGTCTGTCTATTTGTCTATTGTCTATTAAATCTCACTCATGCAGTATTTTTGTTGTGAACATTCAATTTGCCGCTGGCCATAGACCTTTGCCACAAAACTGTTTATGGCTTCATATTAAACTTGTAACTAATCACCAGTCATATTATAACTTGAAATATACATATCTTCTTGATCAGCATTGTACGTGTTATTAAATTTACGGAAAGTAAATAAATGAAACGTCTTATAACACTTTGTGAATAACAGTATAAGCGTAAATATATGTTTTAAGTGTTATAAGAGGTTTCATTTATTTACTTTCCGTAAACTTGAAATATGATATTGTAGATATTTTATCTTTAAAATGAAAAACCCTCAAGCATTATTGTTTGCATTTTAGAGAATTTCACTTATAGGTAAGACCTGGACCCACCGATTTTCTTTTTTGTTTTGTTTCCCCAGAGGCCAAAAACACCATCCATTAAAATTCACATACTGTATATTATTTATGTGCCTGTCTGTTAGCACGATTACTCGAGCAAAAATCATCCGATTTTGATGAAATTTAGTACAAATGTATAAACCTACATTTATTTAAACGAGTTCGCAAACCAGCTCAGCATGATCAGACCATGGTTTTATGGTGGAATTGTATATATATATATATATATATATAAATTTTAAAGGATGGTGTTTTTGGCCTCTAGGGACCTCAAAACGAAAAAGTAAACTGGTCCCGGGTCCAGGTCTTACCATGAGTACTACGGTAATAGCTTATTCCTTATTTGGGAAATTCGCTAATAATAATAGTATGGGGGAACAGAAAAAAACCGAACCAAAACCAAACTAAAATCAAACGTGATGTAAAATCAGTAACCGAGTCATCACTAGTTTTATTTAGTTTATAGGCAGAAAATCGTATTGTAGATTAAACTCCACAAGTAGCAGGATTTTCAATTGCAGCTCACTTTTTTAAATTTAATATTACAAAATAGGGATGTTTAACAACACTTCTGTTAAAACACAATTCAATTTGTTTTATCCCACATATTTTAGTTACCAACCCATTAGAAAGGAATTAATGCGCTGCCTGCAGCACCCTCTGTCGGCAATTAATTTTACCGAGTTTGTAGACTTTTACTCTAATTGTTAAAGATAGAAAACCTTAGGTAATAAATTAATAATTCATTCGCCATTTTGTTCACAGTAAAATTGTATCGGCCTACAAAAAAATTGGTAACTGAATAATCAGAGTGTAAAACTAAAAAAAAAATCAAATTATAAAGATAACAAAAATACAAATTTTAAAAACAATTTTTTTAAAGTAAACTTGATTTATAAATTCCAAGATTGCTCCAAACACCAAATGATACTACTATCAAAGATTACATATGCTATGCAAAATAGATATTGCAGCCAAGCCATTTTTGTGATATCAATTTCCGTGCGAAGCCCAGCGAATGTCTTCACAACCTAAGACTTCATTGCCGACATGACCAGCTGTTATTTACGTATTTTTTGTTGTTGTTTATTGTTATGGTTAACCTTTATTTGTGGTTTTTTGCTTATGTAAGTAACTGGAGGTTTATTAGAAGATGGATTAGCAAGAGTGAAGAAGTGTTAGTATTATGTGTAGTGAATTACAATTGTATTATGATTTGGATATTTTCCCCCCAATTGAAAAATTACAAGTTGTTTACTTTTATAAGGAATAACATAGAAAACAATAGTTTGTTTTACCTTACTGCAGCTGATTGTGGGTGATATCTGGTTTCCATGGCTACACAATCTTGTTTGTTATTCGCAAAAATAAATGAGTAACTACATAAAACAATAAGCAAGATATAAACATCATAAATGTAAGAAGAAACAAAAAGGGGAAAATAATAATAAAATAACTACAGTAGTGGTGCTGCGTAGCGGTGACACAAGCGGCACTTGTAAGCCAGCCGCCGGGCCTGCAGCGGCTGTATGAGTAACGCTTGTAAGTCGGCGCCAATGGGTTAAGGTGCAAAAACAGTATGTTGTCTCTTCTGTTTGCTATCCCTAAGGCGGTCGACACACGGGAAGTCTGAAACCCAACTAAAGTTGAACCAACTGTTTTGTGACGCGATTACGGTTGCAGTTGCGTTGGTTAAATCTGCACACGGGCGCAACTATGATTGAGTTGAGACAGTGAATGAGTTCTAATTTTGTTATAACGATACTGTGTACTGTGTATGGTGTTTGAAATGAGTAATAGTGATGAAGAAGCCCTGGTGTTTTGTAAACAATCAAGAAAGCGTAGAGTAGAAGGTGTTGGGTACATCCTTATGTTAAAACAAATATTTAATGTAGGCTCTTTGTAGCTGCTGCTGCATTACAAGAAACAGACGCAAAATTTCAGTCTATGTACACAGGATGTCAAAAAGTGCTTACGAAGAGTTATCGCAGTTGGTATATCTGATCCTTGAAAAGCGCAATACAAATATGCGAAAAGTTGTTCAAACCAGGCGACTGAAATCACCTAGCAACCGGCAGGTCCGGTTGCTTAACGACTGATCGCCGACTGGTCCTCAACTGGTCGCATCGCAGTCGCACCGTGTGTACTGTCCCACCTAACTACATTGGTCGGGACGAAGGCGACTAGTTTGTCCAACTGGTTGCCGATTTCAGTTGGAAAACAGTCTTCCCGTGTGTCGACGGCCTAAATAGAATAAATCAGTTCCTGTATATTGCTTGTTTTATGGGTGTATTTAATCATATTTGGCAAATTTCTCAATGTCATTGTAGCATTTTAAAAATGTAATTAAAAACACTGTGTTTTAGTAACTACAAACCAAAGCACTCATTGTGCCAATGTTATTTATATAGAGAGTGGATATAGGCTAAGTGTACACTTCTTAAAATTATGAACCTGTTTCAATAAAGGTAAGTTACTACATATTAAATTGGTCTGTAGATTTGCTGCGATGGAGGTATTTTCCTTTTTGTTAGAGAAATAGCGATATATTGATTTTATTTATGCTATTTATTAGAGTAAAATGAACATTTAAGGGAATTGAGATGCCAAATCTGCAATAATCAGACAAAACATAACCTTGAATTGAATGGGTTTATACAATAATTTCTTGTAAATTCTAATTCAATGTTATTGAACTACATACATACATTTATACAACTTTATTCGTCATTTTCTTGTCCATTGCTTTTCCTGCATTTATATTAATTAATAATAAAGAAATATTTTAACAAGAATGATTTCTCAAAGAGTTAAAATAAGTGGTGTGTCGTAATCCTTTTATAAAGTTGGTATTAGTACTGGTTTTTGACTTAAATCGATTCTTAGGTACAGCACGGTACTTTACTAGATAGTTAGTAATCATTCTTTGTTGCAACTGTCGGCAATTTACATGACATATTAGAGTTTCCAAAAACTGTTGATTACATACAAATCAGCAGTCAAATTCAGGTGTGCATGTTTACATATTGCAATTTAAGAGTTAGGGGAAAATTTGTGAACGAGTATGACAACAATCCACTGGCTCACGTTATGAAACAACCCTTTATTTTTTGCCGTAGTAACCATTTACTCCATTCAGCAGGGTAACAACAAAGATACACGAATACTGAGTTGAACTCTCTCTCTAAATAAACACTATTGATCAAGTTTTAGAATCAATGTAGTAGAACTGTCCAATGATTAGAGTGGTGCTACTAATCCAGCAGTAACAAATTCTTCGATACCACAGTTGTTTATGCCTCGGACAAACTTGACATAACCGTTGTCACCCCAGGTTCGGTTCCAGGAGTTGGCGATGAGCCAGTATTTAGTGCCATGCTCATCTCCCCAGCCAAGCACCCTCACCGCATGACCACCAACCTCCGAACCTCTCACATGCCTATACACTCCTGTCAACAAATTATAAACATGACATAACCGTTGTCACCCCAGGTTCGGTTCCAGGAGTTTGCGATGAGCCAGTATTTAGTGCCATGCTCATCTCCCCAGCCAAGCACCCTCACCGCATGACCACCAACCTCCGAACCTCTCACATGCCTATACACTCCTGTCAACAAATTATAAACATGACATAACCGTTGTCACCCCAGGTTCGGTTCCAGGAGTTTGCGATGAACCAGTATTTAGTGCCATGCTCATCTCCCCAGCCAAGCACCCTCACCGCATGACCACCAACCTCTGAACCTCTCACATATCTATACACTTCTGTCAACAAATTACAAACTTGACATAACCATTGTCACCCCAGGTTCGGTTCCATTATTTAGTGCCATGCTCAACTCCCCAGCCAAGCACCCTCACCGCATGACTCCCCACCTCTGAACCTCTCACATATCTATACACTCCTGTCAACAAATTACAAACTACAGTACATGTAAAATCAGTAGCTATGAATTGATTTTCTGGATTTAAGAACATTTTTAATGCATTCTCTATCTTTGATTAAGTAAGAAATATTTGTAACTTTGTATATGCTATAGAAAGTGTACACCTCATGTGAATCACCATGTATTGAATAGCAAACATTGCATTATCCTACATATTGCCCAACCTCTTGTAAAACAACTACAACCCTCTATTCTCCGAGGTAAAAATATAAGTACAAAATTACAAACAAGTAAAACTTACTGTACCTGAAGTATAACTGAAGAAATCATCATACACAGTAAATCCCGCAACTACAGGTCCATTAGTCATTATCTCAGCTTGAATTGTCCTTTCGTCATTAGGCAAGGCATATGCAGTTTTTCCTAAAATGGTACCCACTTTTATTTTTGAACCCGAATAGATTCAATATAAAACTTAAACAGATAATTCAGCTACTATTGATTGTTCTTTCTTTATCCAGTCCAAATAATAATAATAATACTTTACAGTGGCGTTTCTAAGGAGGGGGGAGCCTCCCTTATTGAATCTTGAAAAAATGAATATAAACATATAATATATTTCTTCCTAAAAACATGGCTTTTTAAATACCAAATTCTCACTAGGGGAACCCTGGACCCCTCTCCTTTTGTTCCACACCTCCCCGGTAGCCCCCCTTCTTGACAAGGTCTTAGACCACTTATACTGTACTCACGGTGTCCACATTCTGGAAAGTCAGGGATAGTCATGGAAAGTCATGGAAAAAAATTATGGTCATTGAAAGTCATGGAAATAGGCAAAAAGTCATGGAAAGTCATGGAAATCCCCAATGATGGATGGGTTTCAGGGGACCTTTCAATGCTTTAGTCGGCCGTAACCGCGACTATTTTAGCATTTTTCCGAATTTTTCACAAATGTACCTCAATTTCAATTTATACAGTTGTCTTAGTTTATGGGTTTTGAGTTTGTATTAGTTCATTGTTGTACCTATTGTACTCCATTGTTATCTGTTAATACATATTTCAATATTTTCTGTGAAATAACTTGTCTAGGCAGTATTATTTGTGTGTGTATGGTATATTATAATTTTTGAGTTAAGTTCGTGAGTCATGGAAATCAATGGTTAATGGTCATGGATAGTCATGTAAAGTCAGGGAAATTGATGACAAAATTTCTGTGGACACCCTGTAGTACTGTAATAATAAGAATAAGAAAAAATCAGGGTATCATTCTGCTTTTAGTATTTTATTCATTCATTTTCATTAACTGAAAGCAAATTATTGAAAAATGTTAGTTTTTATTTCTTTGAGCTATCTTATTTATCTATTGGCTTTATCATCCATCAAGTAAAACATTACCAATATCACTTCAATCTTCATTATGTTATTATCCTAGTACAATATTATTTAAAATAGTACTTGAATTTAAATAGTATCTATCTAAAAAAAAGGTTGATTTGCAACTAAATAAACAAGAATAAAAGTAAGCATAGGTACTGCACTTCACAACTCCTTTACTCACCAAAATGCAGGTCTTTTTTATACGGGACTGAATAGTTCTTGTTTGTACATTTGTGAGGACTGCATACAAGGTAAATGTCAGATTCAACACCAGTGGGTGGCACTTCATATGGCTGACAACCCTGCAAAGCAATACAGTTTCACCTAGTTTGTTAGGATTATAAAATTATTTCTGTGTCTATTAGCGAATTCTGCTATATAAATTAAAATTTATTATAAAAATTGACATCTTACTACACATTGCAGTCTGCTGTAGAACAAAGAATAATACGACAAAAACTTTACAAGTTTGTTCAAACCTAATTATGATTACTAGTGTACATGTTGCTCGAATTCGAGCAATTGCAAAGTATTACAGGAGTTATTTCAAAACGAAAATGAATAACAGTCATATTTAATGAGTTTAAAATAGTCACCTCAAAGATTGCCGGTGTGTAACTCAGACCATGTTTATCTTCGTTATTGATAAACCTAAAGCATTCTGGCCGGTTTTCTCCTTCTCATAATGCATCGCTGTACAGGCAACACAGGTCATTGATAGAGGGCCAATTGAGAACAAAAAGTCGTTTTGGGGTAGTGTTAGGGTGCATTTATAACTTAATAGTTGAGATTGTCCAGGGTCAGGTGCTGACTTGATGAGTTAAGCCTATTACGCGTCACTGTTCTGTAGCTGCGGTCGTTATCACGATTACGCCTCCTGTCTATGTTTCGTTGGCGTCACGTCTTAGGAATTTAAAAGAAAAAACAACAAATAAACAAATTATAGCTACACAAAACAACGATAAATGCACAAATTTAAGATACAATCATACTAACACGATCCGTCTTGGGGGTTATGTTTACACAAACTCAAATACTGTAGTAAATAAATGTACTCAATGCGTTTCATTGAATTGAAAAATAAATAACAGCAACTAAATTATACAGCTGATCAAAATGTAAACAATTGTGTTCTCCATAAGGATAACATGGGAACTTTCAAAGCCAATGGGGCAGATGCCAAGGGACTTTTTCAAAAATGTAAGGCCAGTTTGCAAATCTACGTGACACGCTCTTTCCAATGAGACGTCAATGGATAAAATCGGTTAAGAAATGGCGGAGGAGGTTAACCGACAAAGTTTCATGTAGCGTATTAATTATATAGATTATTATAAAGGTGTTATTTTATAATGTTAATACAGTACACAATTTTATGGCTGTCAAAGATATTAAATATGACACTTTATTTTCCAGATTTAATTTCTTACAAAATTGCTGGACTTGTTTAGGAGTTGTTCCTCTTCAACTTGAACCAATAAGATAATGCCCAACTTTCATTACAAACATTGTGTAGAGTTAAAAAATGCAAATTATTTTGTGCTGCTGTCTATTGTACAAAAAAACCAAAGGTAGCAGAGAACAAAAACGGTATATTTAATAATTCTTATGGAGAAAATATTAACTGTTGTAGTTTGACTAATTTGGTTTCATATTAACTGTCGTCAGTTCCAAATATTAACATTCGTCATTGCTATATTTTTCGGCGAGCTGCCATTTTCAAGCACACAGTCCAGGAATAAACATTAAAAAATCTGCTTGTACATTGTTGGTTTACACACATGACACTTAACACAAAACACATAAATAAATAGGTAATACTTTTAGTTGGATAGGCCTATCAAGAGTACAAAACATTGCCCTTACACAATCGGGAACAGACTGTTTAATGTGGGTTTTTATGGATTTATAAATTTAGAAGACATCCATTTTACTTCCCTTATGACAGTTAGGACATCTAGACCGGTGTTGATGTCATTCATATTGTGATAACTGTCAATTAGGTGTTGTGCAAATGTTGACTTCAGTGTGTCTGTCCTTGGGTCTGGGTGGTGTTCTATATAACGGGTTTTAAATGCTCGCCCCGTTTGTCCAACGTAAAAACTCGGGCATTTGGCACAATTTATTTTGTAGATTCCTGTTGACAGGGTTGGTACGGTCAGGGAATTTTGTTGGTCTGGAAAAGTCAGGGAATTTTGGAAAAAATCTGGAATTTCTCTTGAAAGACTTCATTTTTTACAGATATGCTACATTTTGCATCTATGTCTCAATACTTGGTCAAAAACATCAAAGTTTGGCGAAAACATCGATGTAACAAAAACATCGTGAACCTACCATCGATATAAAAAACATCGAACATAGACAGACATTCTATCTTCACCCTCTGATTACTGGCTTTAAAAGAACGAACCGAGCTAGTTAGTACCGTGATGCGTGGAAGGACATTCATCGTTTCAATTTCAATACGATACTGCCTCATTGTACAATTTATACCAATACTGATTCAACCTTTAATAAACTAAAAAAAAACTGCACTTGCAGGAGTTTATAGAAAAATATTTATCCTGTTAGTTGAAACATTTAATAGTTTAGTTTGGTACTACTTTTTGTCTCCGGTACAAGCATGGTAGTTATTTTTCCAATATCACATGTTTCTTCCGATATAAACCGATGATATCGCAAGCAAAATATCGATATATATCAGTATCAGAAGCACCATATCGTCTATCTGCCAGTGTCAAGTCAAGGCCAAGTAGAACATAAAGTGCGAGGTTATGTTAGTTGGTACTCTTACTTTTCCAGATTCCAGATGTTTAATTCTTTTCTTATTGGTTTTATGAGTAAACTATTTAGGACTACATTTTTTCTAATAATTCTTGATTCTGACTATTCGATATTGTCTTACGGTATACCTGGAAAAAGTATAATATCAGTCTGGAAAACCTGGAAAAGTCAGGGAATTTCATTTTCCAAAATCAGTACCAACCCTGTGTTGAGCTGGTTTTATCTAATTGTTTGAGGTGGCTATTGTCCTTTAAGATTTGATTGGCTTTGTTTGTTGTTCTAAAGGATAAAGTGATGTTATGGTTTTTCAGGTGTCTCTTGAGACTGTGCTCAATGTTTTTGTTAAATTCAACACATACATTACTTCACTTTTTCGTTTGATCTGTTTGGCGATGAGCTTATCAATTAGATTACATTTTTTAAGCGACGATGAATTTGATTGTATCCAATTCTATCTTGTAATTTTCAGTGTTTAGTGGGACATTAACAATCTGTGAATCATTTTAGGGTTATTTAATAACGCGCAATGGTGTGGATATGGAACATTTTATTGTCTTCTATAGTTACTACACAACACACACACATGAAGTAGAAACGAGGACATTACATAACCTCACAGCCGGCTCCGGACATAGGAAGAATAATACTTTCATTCTTAGAAAAAGAAGAAGTCATTTAGGCCTAAGTTACATAGACGCTTGATAGCCTAAAGATTGGAGCATGTACTATATGACAAGAATATAAATTTATCTTCTCTAACAAATCATACTATTGCAAGTGGCTTTTTTTGTGAGTAAGGATGGTAGGAGGTTGCATGAATTGTCTGAGTTGGAAGTGGTGGGTTTCCAAAAGATGTTGTATGGTAATTTGTTGTCATTTTTTCTATTGTCAAATCTAAGAAGTTAATTTTGTTGTTTTTTTTTCTATCTCTTGTGTGAATTTTAGCTTAGGTGTAATGCCGTTCAATTAAAACCGACAACGAAGCTATACAAGCGGATTTTTCAATGTTTATTCCTAATCTGTGTGCTTGAAAATGACAGCTCGTTGATACATGTAGCATTGGCAAAAGTTACAATTTGTAACTGACAACAGGTAATATGAAACCAATTAGTCATTATTAAATTTCTGGGGCTACTGCAATTTCTTTCCAAACCATTTTGTAGAGCACAAAAACAAATGATTTAGTATCATGAAGCGTTGTTGTATATCTAACGAACAGTTACAGAAAAATTCCAAAAAAAGTGTTAATTTAAAATTACCATGTTATTCTTATGGATAATTAATAAACTGTTGTGATTTAGTTGATTATGGATGTACTTTCATCAAATATGGTAGATTTGTTTGTTTCATACTAAGCTATCAAAACTTTAAAAAAACACACCTTATTACCTTCCCTGCAGCAGCAAACAAATCCAATCATTAAAATTAATGCTGGAAATTAAATGTGTCCTTGTTGCTCGAATTCGAGCAATTGCCAAGTATTACAAGTGTTATTTTAAAACGAATAACAGTCATAATTTCTGATGACTAAAAGATTTGACTCAAAGATTATGGAAATACTTAAGATGCACATAACAGATCGATTTAATCAACATTTCTTGTAAATATCTTATCATTTTTCAAAAGCTGATCTGGTTTTTAGTGTTTTCTACAAATAGCCTTACTCATAGCGGCATTAGGTTGTCCATAATAACGATTATAAATTCTAAAAAAAAACGACACTATTTCTATTTCTTCTCCTTGGTGGTGTTCTATGACTTTCTTATGTTTCCGCAGTTTGCAAATCGGCTCTTTCAATGATAACTTAGCAGCACAGTGTTAATTAAGTTTTCTTTTTAGTAGGTGTATAAAATTATCCAGGCTCTCTCACTTTTTTCCATTGTAATATTTACGCCAACCCGAATTCAAATAGTAAATGTTTCTTCATTCAACCAAGTCATTAAATGTTTGTAGCAAACTGTTAAATTAGCATCTTATTGACTGTTTACAATTAACATATGTTCTTCTCACTTTTAATTTATGACAACAGCTGGAGTTTCATAACAATGTATGTTTCCCATGTTAATCTTATGGAGAAATACAAAACTTTAAAAGGCCCCAGGGCCTTTTATCTCTAATTATTTCCCTAAAAAGAAAGTTTCATGCACAACTTCACGTTACGCTCTTTCCAATGACACCAAAAACATGTCAATCGGTTTAGTAGTTTCGGAGAAGTAATTGTCACAAAAAACCTGCTTGCGTATTAAATAAGTATAGATAGATGCTGGAAATTAAATAGAAAATAAATCTAACAACTTTAAAGAAACCTTATAGCGGTAATCCAGCCACTGGCGTAAATAACACCCCCGCAGTGCGGGGGGGGGGGGGGCTGAGGTCCAGGGGGGGCGCTAAGATCCGATTGTCACTGCAATCGTGAAAAATGGTGATGTTTCTGTAACTGCGGGAGGCAAAGATGATGTCTTCAAGACCAAAGAATGTATTCATGATATTGCCGCAATCGCAAAAAAATATTACGTTATTTTGAGACCGCGGGAGACAATCATGATGTCTACAACACTGCGGATGATGTACAAGATGTTGCCACAATCATGTTAAACGATGACAAGTTTCAATGACCAATGGAGGCGATCAATAATCGTCTGCGAGAGTTTTTGGAATTTGCCTTGATCACAGCTTTTGCTGAGATAAACGAGTAAAACATAAGTGGTGGTGTTTTGATAGGGGGGGGGTACCATCCACATGTACTTAGTTGGGGGGGGGGGGGGGCGACGCGGGGCGCCGCTCATTGTCTTACGCCACTGAATCAAGCCAGGTAAATGGAAATTCGCCTAGTCTTTCAGGGTTCCTGTTGTAAGGGTATTTTTATGTAATTAGTAACTGTTGAAATGTTACTTTTTTAAATATGTACTATTACCTACCTCTTGAGACAAGTAATCTCCCCCGGTCACTAAGCCGTGGTGGCAGAAGTACGGCCACGCCTTGTCAGGGTAGCCACCATTACAACCAGTCCCACAATCTGTGCAACAAGCTGTCAACTGCTCAGCGGAAATGTTCACCTGAACCTGACCTTTGGAAGAAATGCATACTCGATCCGACATTACAGAAGATGTTGATACAGCCTAAAAATAACCATTTATATATCAAATTTTATTACAAAAATATTTACTTCTTTCCTGGAAATTACAAAGAAAGGTGAATTTTCAATGAAATAACTGATTTAAAATGCGGAGATGGACAGTAAAAAAAAACTTTTAAAGTGTTTAAAGTCTCTGATACTTTTTTTTTTTTTTTTTTTTGTAAGGGTTAACACCCTGGTCTTGTTACTATCGAACAAAACACTTTTGTTAGACAGCATAACTAATTGATAGCCCAATTAATAAACATCTGATGGGTCTAGAACCAAATGCCGTTCTGGGTAAAATCATTAGTCAAAAGCCAAAGACAAAATTTGTTATTTAACAACTTTGCTAATAAAAGCAAATAAAACTAACAATATACATAGATTAAAGTAAAATATTTAATAGCGATGTCCGTGTAGCAATCTTAACAAGTAACAAGCTTAGCTGTTAAAATTTTTTTTTATTTTTTAACTAGTTTATAAAAGGGCATAAGGTAGACCAACATGGAGTTGGCACTGTTTCTTTTGGCACCTTTTGTTTTTTTCCAAGTCTGTTGTTAATTAATTGAAGTAACACATAAAATAAACTTTAAATTTAAAACAGTATTTTATAGTTAAACATAATGACGTACATGTACAAACTCTTATTAGGCTGTTGTGAAACTGTGAACTAAAGTGATCAATTTGATTATGTAAGTCATTTGAGTTCCCTCACTCACAGTTTCATTGGTCTTGAAGACCCAAAGTGAGCCACTGTTGATTAAGTACATACCCAACATGAGCAGCAGATTGCCTTGGTACATACTTACTTAACATGATCGAGTCACAGTTGCCCTGGTCAGGAAGTACATACTCAACATGAGCCGCAATTGTCCTGGTGATTAAGTACATACCCAACATGAGCAGCAGATTGCCTTGGTACATACTTACTAACATGATCGAGTCACAGTTGCCATGGTCAGGAAGTACATACTCAACATGAGCCGCAATTGTCCTGGTGATTAAGTACATACCCAACATGAGCAGCAGATTGCCTTGGTACATACTTACTTAACATGATCGAGTCACACAGTTGCCCTGGTCAGGAAGTAGGCCCTACATGAGCCGCAATTGTCCTGGTGATTAAGAACCTACCCAACATTGGCAACATTAGCCACAGTTGTTCTGGTGATTAAGACCATACCCAACATGAGTCACAATTGTTCTGGTGATTAAGAACATACCCAACATGAGCCACAGTTGTCCTGGTGATTAAGTACATACCCAACATGAGCAGCAGTTGCCTTGTTCTTGACGAAGGCCTACATACTTAACATGATCGACCCACAGTTGCCCGGATCAGGAAGTACATACCTAACATGAGTCACAGTTGTCATGGTGATTAAGAAGGCTACATACTCAACATGAGCAGCAGTTGCCTTGGTCATGACGTACATACTTAACATGATCAAGCCACAGTTGCCCTGGTCAGGAAGTACATATCCAACATGAGCCACAGTTGTCCTGGTGATTAAAGTACATACTCAACATGAGCAGCAGTTGCCTTGGTTATAAAATACATACTTAAAATGATCGAGCCACAGTTGCCCTGGCAGGAAATACATACCGAACATGAGCCACAGTTGTCCTGGTGATTAAAGTACATACCCAACATGAGCCGCAGTTGCCCTGGTCCTTGATACTCCAGATGCTTTTACAATGTGACCATTGTTGTCTAGCATCAAATTTGCTTGGGATGGGAGATGTGACAGGATGCCTTACTGGTAGTCCTCGGGATAGATGTGACCCTGCCAGCATATGTGCTTCTTGACCAAGGGCTGTCACTAAATTGTGTCCCGCCTGTAGAACCAACCAGACAGTCATTGGGAGAAATTAGAATCAAAGTATTTAACAAAGTATACTCAACCTACAGCGTAGTTTGTTTTGTACCCAACAAAAATGTTCAAGAGATATGTTGATTTTGACATCAGGTGTTGTCAGCAAGTCTTAAACATTTTGTTGTGAACTCAAGTTTAAAAGTGCTGCAAACATATTATGTTTAAAACGATCCAAACTCAAACAGAAGACCTAGTCAAAAATGGAAGCCATTGAAAGATTTCTGGAATTTGTAATTTTAAATCTTTGAACGGCTTCTATTTTTGACTCAGTTGTCCGTTTGAGTTTGGGTTTGTGATACAGTATTTATTCCACCAATAAAGATCTTTAATTTGACATGCATATCAAGCTATGCTTACATTTATGATTTTCTTTTGACTTCTAGCGGGCGCTCCAATATTGAAAATTGAAGAAATCTTTCATAGGCTTCCATTTTTAACTCTGCCTTCCGTTGGAGTTTACGGCATTGTATTTTACTTACAAATATCTTTAAGTTGATGTGCATATTAACCTATGTTACACTTAAAGATTTTCTTCTTACTCCTAGCGGGCCGTCCCCCTGAGGACATAGCATATCACTGAATAATGTTTTAAATGATTTCTATGTCCAGTGACCACATTCCAAGTTTTGTTGCTCTACCTTTTAATGTTTGAAAAATGTCAATTTTTAACCTTTTTGTAACTTGTAACCATTTAATTTAGACATTATTTATTTGCACATAACATTCTTTTACATGTGATAACATATAGAAAATGTGTGCATTGACAAAATTGAGCCTAGACTAGAAAAATGCAAAGTACAAAGTAACAGAAAAAAACCTAGCCAAAATTTTGTTATAATATACCGGTAGTTTATTATACATTTTTAAACCTGTGTACAAAGGACTTTTTTCAAATAAGGTCAAACGGTGATTTGGCATATAAAAATCGTTTCATTTATTGTACTTTACTTGTGTGTGAATGTGAATAAATCCAGGAGTTTATTTTTTATATTGTGTATGTAATTTATTAATTCATACATGTACAGTATAGTCACGTGAGTGTTTGGATTTTTAAATTCTGAAAAAGCTTATAAGGACTTCTGGGGTTAGTCATAATTCAGAGGATTCTTTTCTAAAGTCTGAAAATAGTTTTTGTATCAGTTGCCTGTCCCCACCAACGATATAAACAACTCATGGATCGCTGGCTCAGTGTTGGCCGCGCGGTCTGGTGCTCCCCCACTCTCTACTGGCAGAAGCCGGCGCAGCCCATACACTCACCGTATAAAACACACCTTTTTAGATGCTGCTCTGTTTAAATATGTAGAGATTAAAAATTGGTAATGCATGTCAAACTCTTTTTACAATTAAAAACTTAATGTATGTTTTGTTTCTTGAATAGAATTACCCATTTGAACTCTTTAAAACTACACATTCACTAAACTTGATTTTAGATGTTTTTTCACACAACCGACATGACGACTAGTTAAAAACTATACATGGTAAAATAATATGTAATTGCAAAGAAAGGATAGTAAGTACAACATTTGTCATTTCACATTCGATTTATTAATGAAAACAACATTAAATATTTTTGAATAAAATCATTTTGGTGAGCGTCTGTCGCAGACCTCGTGGGTGTCTTTCTCAAAAGAAATATTCTTGACGTGCCCCTTAAAAATAGTGCCCGCAAAATGGGAACACGCGCGGCTACAAATAGTCTTTTTGTATTAAAGTATCCTTTATGCTGAAGCTAACAAGTTAATACATTGTAAACGTACTTAACTGCCGTAAAAACTTCTTCGTGTGCCCTAATGAGCTAAAATTTAGTTACATAATCAGTCAGTTGTGTATAGTAATTAACTCAAATTGTCTTCTTTTTTTTTTATTCATCGCACATGATATGAATAAGGTACATTATACCTAATGAATATCAACCCGACCTACCATCATAAAATATAGTGTTGACTGACCTCTGAGAAAATAAGCCCGGACGCATTTATTTCATTGTGCATGTTTTACAATGTACAGTTTTAGTTTAGCCCTATCAACAAAATAAAAACAAAATTCAGTTAAGTTAAACATGCTGTAACAAGTTAAGGAATCACTTAGGTACTCAGACACCTTGTTTAGAATCTATTAGATTTGGTACTTTACTCGTAAAACAAAATGCCACTGTCTTTCTGTTATTTTAGTGGCAGTGATCAGGATCCGAACCCACGACATCACTGCCTTGGGACCAAAGTCCGTGACGCTACCAACTGAGCCACCGACTCACCAAGTTTAAGTAAGTTGCAATCGGAACAAGACACAACCATTCTAAACACATACTTAGCGTATAATTAAAGATACTAGGTGAAACCCGTCAAAATCGACGGTTTATTTTCAAGGCTTACGTTAATTCATCTAACTAACTGCGATAAATTGGATTAAATATATATATATATTGAGCATTTAGCATTGTTTAAAGAGTAATAAGTGTAAAGAAACAATGATATTAATTGCGTTAGTTGCCAATTTGGTTGATCATTCAATGAATAAAATATTCCCAATACCATCATCGGAGTTATTATTATATTATCTGGTATCTCTTCCTTTGGAAGAACCTTTAAATAGTATTAAAATCGTATTTGGTGGATCTTTTGTAGTTAAACACTTCCGTGATTTCATCAGTGTAATATGATTTTATTTGAAAAGAGATTATTTTTGGGGAAGACATATTCTAATTTCAAAGGGAGGTATATCCGTTACAGTGTAAGTTTGATTTTTCCTTCGTCACGTCACGTCAGTTCATATCGAACTTCTGTGCCAATGAATGAACCCTCTAGCATAGTTTTGAAAAATTGATTGTGGGGTTACTGTTAAAGCTTGAATTCCTTGACATGGGGGATGGCAGTTAGTTGTCTCAGCCTTATCAATAACATAAAGTTGTCAATATAATCTCTCTACGGAATGTTAGGTGTAGTGGAATGAAGTGAAGTTGGATTTTATTCTTGAACTGTTAGGTGCCTCCTAGTTCATACGGCCTTGCGGCTTCATTGGCAACAAATAATGCAAATGACATAGCAATGGGACATTTCCAAAAAACAAAAATACTATAAATTGGCTGTAACGTATATATTGACGTTTACATATTGTTAATCAACGTCTTATAAAGGATTATGTGATCTAGTTTAAAGGAATATACCTTTATGTCATGTCAGTAGCTGCTTAAATAGTATTTTCTTTTTGTACCATATTTTACAGCCAAAATGTCGTGTTATTTTCAATAATGTTACCAACCCAGTGCGCCATATAGGCAGTTGCAAATAATTTGTCAAAATAGGGACCATTTTAGGCAAGGTTTCTATGTTTGGATTTTATTAGACACGATAAGAGCAGATATTTCTACATAAATATTTGATATGTGTGGAATAATATGATAAAATGTTTAGGCAAAGGCGGTGAAAAAGGCAGACACCAACCCGTTCAACAGATATAAGATAGTTCAATAAGAAATGATTTTAAAATTCCTGCGATAGAAGGATTTTCCACTGATTTCGTAATGGAGCTTTATATTGCAAAACATGACATGATAAAGAATAAAATCAATTTTAAAATCCAGATAATAACATTCAAATACTTATTTGGTAGAATTCAGTACTCCCAATAAATGTGTGTTGTTTGAGATACAATTTACAGCTGTTTCAAAGTATTATTCACATGCCCAACATGTAAACAACTCTGTGGAGGGATCTTTAAAGGCTTCTGGGGCAGAGTCCTAAGGGATTTTACTTAGTTTTTCTTTTGATAACTCATCTACAGACCAATACCTTTCTTTGGACACCTCTACTAAGTTTCTACGCCCAGCCGTTCTCTCAAATTAGTGGGGACAAAATTTCCATTTAAATATTTAGATTCCCCCATGTTAATCTTATGGGAGAAACTCCAACTTTGATGGCCTGTGGGGCAAAGACCGAGGATTTTTATTACAGGAAATGGTGAAAGGGGGCGTCTACACAAAAAATACTTTATTTTGACACGTCGTTTGTAAAAATCCGTCCATTATTAACGGAGGAGTAGTGTTTCGTAGAAATCGCCTTCACGTATTATATATAAGGATTGATAAATTTTAATCATAGTTTTAAAAAACCGCACACTGTTGTTACGTCAAACAAGTGTTGAAATGGGTGACAGCTAGCATGCACGTGAGGTACGCCGCCCCGCCGCTATCTTGCCAGTAGAGAGTGGGGGAAGTGAGACCAAAAACAGCGCCCGCTACGCCACTGAGAGCGCAATCCAGTAGTTATTTACATCTTTGGTCCCCACAAAATCACATTATACCAGTACCTCAGAGAAAATAGCATGAATTGATATGCTAACCACTGGACATTTTATCCTTGCAGATTACTGAGACTTCTTAGCCTAAGTTACTCTCATATTGACCTCAACTATACAAAATATTCTTTTTGTAATTTGTTGCAATAAATTCTTGAATCTTGATTCCTCAAGATGGATTTTACATATGCGAGATAAACCATTTTAGGTAATAGCACACTTAAGAAGACTATGGAAGAGGACCATTCTTATCATAAATCAGTACCGTACCTCTGGCCTAGACTAACATATATTTTGCTAGTAACACCAAACAAATTAATATTAACATATCTTGAGGGTATAGATAAAATTATTAGAAGTGCAGTAAAAGAAATTCTCACTCTACCAAGTGACACACCCAATTCTTTCTTATATTCAAAAATAATAATAATCAACTACCTTCCATGAGTGATTCCCAGAGTTAACAAACTCAATAACAGTTTTAAAATAGTCATGCCCAATATTTTCTGTGGCTGCACATGAGTGAATCATGAGTGTCAATGGCAGATACCAAATAAAAGACCTGTAAAAAGTAAACGCTGGCTTTAAAATGTACTGTAGTAGTTTTTCTTTTCACTGGGAACAAATAGGCCTGCACAGAATAAAATAACTTATATTATTAGAAACTAGCTCAACATAACAATAATAGTTATAGTCCTACAATATAGTTTCCTGGTGTGAAATGATGAATCCATAATTCTGAAGTTTACTACAAAAAGGTTTATTGAATGAACATATTGACGAAATAGGAAATAAATAAAAGTTCTTCGGCTTACAATTAAACCATTCCAAGTATTTATTTAAGTTTGAGTTATTTAACAAGTATCATGCAATTATAACTGAGTAAAAAAGGGCCACTCATAGAAAATGTAATTTATGAAATAAATGCCTAACTTTTGTGTTTAAATTGATCTACATGAAATTTCCTTTTATATGGCACTATTTTATATAGGTAAACAATATTTTATACCCTTGCAATTTTAATACATATATGCAATTTTACTTTTCTCCATTTAAACAATGCTAAACAATGTAAAAGGAGTATTAGCGTTGTTTAAATGGAGAAAAGTGGTCATGCATTTGGAAAAGAAGACATTTCTCTGTTACTATTTATCCAATCTTAACAAATAAGGTATCATTTAAAACTACATAAAATTTACTAACTTTTTTGTACCTTGCAATTTTTTCGTTAACGGTTTTCGTGAAATTTCGCATCAAATATTTTAAATGGCTGCCATTTAAAAACGGTTATTGATTTTTTAGTATAATTTTAAACAAAGATAAGCCTTAATAAAATTAACATTTCTGCAAAATCCCAACGCTGTATCTCAAACCGTTTAGAAGTTATTAATGTTTTTGTAAAAAACACATAAATGCCGACATTCGGTAAACTAGACACCACAGACCCATGTTCCTATGGTGAAATGTGTTTGTCTTGATCTAAGCAATAACGCTATATACATGTGTCCAGAGAGTTACGGGACACCCTGTATATTCAATCAGTGGTAGTGTGCAAAGTACAGTCAGTGTAGATTTAAGATTGTTTTCAGCACCGGAAGAACTATAAACAGGACCAGTGACTACTAAGGAAAGCTGGAAAGTGTTTTAATACCTTTTGGGGGTCCCAAATAAGACTCCTGTGAGTTTGGGACGGATTCTGACGTCTGCTTGAGTTTTGGGAGTCGAAAAACTATGAAAATTTTGCACTTTTTTTAGTTTTTCGCTTATAACTCCTAAATAAAAAATCATAAGGAAAATGTTGTTCAAAGGTGTCTTTTAGTGCATTTAATTTCGTCATCTTACCAATTGCATGCGTAGTAACATATCAGTTACTGACTTTCCACAATCACAGTTAAACTGACAATCTTTGGACAGTTTCTTTAATTCCATAGCAAATTCAATCATTTGACTCATTCGGCTGTTATACTCTACACACAAAGCAATGTTGTAATGTTAATACACTTGGTAATGGTTCTAAATGTTCTTTCAAAATAGAAATTACATTTTCATAGTTCATCTTGTAAGGGTCATCAGGGGCAACTATGTCTAGAAGTCGTTCATGTAGCTTAGGTGAAAGTGCATGTAGTAAACTACAAAGATTTGTTTTTCTCTTCATTTACACCTTTAAGTACAAGGAAATTTTCAAATCTTTTAATGAAATTCCTAAAAGATTCTTCTTCATCATAAAGAACAAAACTAATGTTTGATGTTGTGCTTGGTTCCTTGTTATGTGGATTTTCTGCTGTAGTCTCTTTATTATTGTGTCGAGTCTTTTCATGTCTCAAAGCTGCTTCTAAAACGATGTACATTTCTTCTGTCTCACATATATACGAGGGAGGCTAGATCATCTTGTTCTTCATCTTCAGTGGCTAGTTCAATTTTGGTTTGTGCTTCTTCAAATTGTTTCCAATACGATCTTAAACTGTCTAACCTCACATCTATCTCTTATCTCTGCACTTGTCATTTTATCAGTTGATTTATTTTCTACAATTAGATTAAAGGCTTTGGAAATTTGCCTTTTTGCAACTGATCTCAACTTTTTTATAATTCCTATTTCCGTCATCCTCGTCGCCATTTATTGTATAATAATTAGATTCAACTCAAAAGATACATTATTTTATTCAATCCATTATATTTACAAAACTGGTAAATATAAACAATTAATTAATGAACACATGTTTTAAAACTATACATCGTATACCTACTTAATTTTTTAAGCTTTTGATCATTAATAATAGCCCAGGCAAATTAGACATATGCTCCCCAAAAAATCGTCTAAAGCTGGAAAGTGTTTTAATACCTTTTGGGGGTCCCAAATAAGACTACTGTGAGTTTGCGACGGATTCTGACGTCTGCTTAAGTCGAAAAAGGAGTCGAAAAACTATGAACATTTTGCACTTTTTTCAGTTTTTCAATTATAACTCCTAAATTATTATTATTATTATTATTATTATTATTATTATTATTTGTTGTCATGAGAGCCGAAGCCCCCTGACTGCTTACCCGGTACCTATCCTACAGGACATACCCGGGCCCCATGATGTAGGCCGAAGCTTACGCATCAACCTTTAGCACATCATGGGCGGATGACTTAAGGTCATCAGGCTCGCCGGCTGCCGAAGCAGACCCTTCGGAAAGAGGGTTGCCCCTCAATCCTAACCAGGGATTCCGGCTGCTTGTTTAAGCGTCACTCCACCTGGGTTCCACTAGGTCGGAACCTAGAGGTCCATAGTAGAGCGCCCCGACGCATTTAGTGCAAGCAACACTCGGGACCTATCTCATCCCTGACAGGCAGAACCCGCCATCAATAGCCAGGAGGAAGGGGACCATCAGCACGCTGACGGGGGGAACCCCAACCTCCCATTTACACCGCTGCCCGATCGAGGCCTGACCCATTGCTGGGAACCAGAGATATCCAGAGCGATAGATCCCCAGATACCCCTGGCGGGCTCGGACCCAGCACCCGATCTACTTCGTTTGCCCGTCAGACCCAACATCACTGCCAGGCCATCAGGGTTTCCCAAAAGGAGGCAGGTATAGAAGTGGGACCCACCCGGATGAACCTATCCACCAGAGGTGGCGACACCCTTGACTCAATTGAGGTTCCGGGAAGAACCCCCCACACTCAAGATAACCATACCGTCCGTGCTCAGAGACAGGGATAGGTTTGCATAAGTACCTACAAACCGTTGCCCTCACACTGCGGAAAGTTACGTTGCCCTTGAGTGTCCCCGTGAGCTGCGGGTACTTGCCCGTTTTCACCTCCAGGAAAGGTTACTTCCAAAGTCGAGGATTTGCCCACTGAATGCTGGTCGCACACCACAAGCAGGCCGAAGCCCAAAGTACCACAGACACAGGTAGGTTAGAGATTATGATGTACTTCCATCTCTCCTAGAGCTAAACACCCCTCCATCCTGGATAAAGGAATGTCACTGGGACCCGATGCCCAGTCGACCATGTCTGTGGCCAACTTGAAATGCCGATACCAACACGGAGCATTTACCTCCCCTCTGGGGGCTAGGTATTTCACCTCCCAGGACGAGGCTACTTAACATTATATAACTCCTAAATAACGAATCCTAAGGAAAATTTTGTTCAAAGGTGTCTTTTAGTGCATTTAATTTTGCGTCGATTGGTGTTAAATACGTCAAAATCGGCCGAGCCGTTTAGCCGCTGTAGCTTTTCAAAGTTGGGATATTTTCATCAATATGGCCAAAAGGTTGATTATTTGACCAGTTTTCGGCTTACAACTCCTAAACGACGCATGCTATACAAAAATGCACCTGTAGTTAGTTTGGAAAACACAAAATTCTGCGTAAAGTGTTTTTTTTTTTTATTAATCAATAACGGTAATTGATTGTTACCTACTTTATATGGTCGCCATTTCATTAAAAAAAGTATTGAAGTTAAAGTTGGGAAATTTTTCTAAAATTGGTTACAACGTAGATCCTGTCCTTAAATGGATTATGAATTATTTGATAGTGGTTTATTCCATGATGGTCATCCAGAGGTTTATCTAAGGTGTGAAGAGAGTAAGAACCCCTGTGTAATTTTAAGTCTAAAATTGTTGTCTGAGGTTCCGAAAATTCTAGGATTCATCCCAACCTCCCATTATATACGATCTATCCCTGTATTCATCTTTCAGTTTTTGGCTTACATCTTCTAACGCATGTTATAGAAAAAATGTACCTGTAGTTAGTTTGAAGATCATAAACGTCTGCGTAGAATGTTTTCCAATTCATTAAGATCGGCTTCACTGTTTAACCGCTATTGATTGTTAACACTAGATCGGATGCTTGTCAAGTTTCCGAAGCTTAAAATCTTACCTTTGAAATCTGGCAAACAACCAGCCTATTACCGAAAACATAGGGAATATGGCAGTGAATCTATCAATGAATCTATCCACTAGTGTGACGTCATGGATCCTGCAGCATGGCCTATTTTTCTAGTGGGGCCTTGGCTGAACCATCGGTCTCTATTTAATAGAGATCGATGGTCTGAACACGTCCTTAACTAATAACATTGACTATTGGATTCAGAAGAAAACATATGGATCAGCTGCTGACAATTTTTTACTAAAAACTAATGTAGTTGTCTAAGCCAGTCACAGATTGCTCTAGTGTCTAAAACTCTATTTTATACCTTGTTTTTTGTTTCTAACATAGTTATTGGGTCATAACAGTTGCTATAGCTCATAATATGTCATTCCATCGTTGTAATATCTTTTTATATATTATAATCGCTTAACATCATTTTGGAGTGTCCAGAGATGGGATCGTATAAATGGGAGCTTAGGACGAATCCTAGAATTTTTGTAACCTCAGATAACAATATTAGATTTAAAATTACATAGGGGGTCTTGCTACCCTTCCCTTCACACATTCTTGGATAAACCTCTGGATGATGATAACCATGAAATAAACTATCTAGTAATTCATAATCATAATTCTAAGCCGAATTTTGTGTTTTCCAAACTAACTACAAGTGCTTTTTTGTATAGCATGCGTCGTTTGGGAGTTGTAAGCCAAAAACTGGTCAAATAATCAACCTTTTGGCCATGTTGATGAAAATATCCCAACTTTGAAAAGCTACAGCGGCTAAACGGCTCGGCCGATTTTGACGTATTTAACACCAATCGACGCAAAATTAAATGCACTAAAAGACACCTTTGAACAACATTTTCCTTAGGATTCGTTATTTAGGAGTTATAATTGAAAAACTGAAAAAAGTGCAAAATGTTCATAGTTTTTCGACTCCCTTTTCGACTTAAGCAGACGTCAGAATCCGTCGCAAACTCACAGGAGTCTTATTTGGGACCCCCAAAAGGTATTAAAACACTTTCCAGCTTTAGACGATTTTTTGGGGAGCATATGTCTAATTTGCCTTGGCTATTATTAATGATCAAAAGCTTAAAAAATTAAGTAGGTATACAATGTATAGTTTTAAAACATGTGTTCATTAATTAATTGTTTATGTTTACCAGTTTTGTAAATATAATGGATTGAATAAAATAATGTATCTTTTGAGTTGAATCTAATTATTATACAATAAATGGCAACGAGGATGACGGAAATAGGAAATATAAAAAAGTTGAGATCAGTTGCAAAAAGGCAAATTTCCAAAGCCTTTAATCTAATTGTAGAAAATAAATCAACTGATAAAATGACAAGTGCAGAGATAAGAGATAGATGTGAGGTTAGACAGTTTAAGATCGTATTGGAAACAATTTGAAGAAGCACAAACCAAAATTGAACTAGCCACTGAAGATGAAGAACAAGATGATCTAGCCTCCCTCGTATATATGTGAGACAGAAGAAATGTACATCGTTTTAGAAGCAGCTTTGAGACATGAAAAGACTCGACACAATAATAAAGAGACTACAGCAGAAAATCCACATAACAAGGAACCAAGCACAACATCAAACATTAGTTTTGTTCTTTATGATGAAGAAGAATCTTTTAGGAATTTCATTAAAAGATTTGAAAATTTCCTTGTACTTAAAGATGTAAATGAAGAGAAAAACAAATCTTTGTAGTTTACTACATGCACTTTCACCTAAGCTACATGAACGACTTCTAGACATAGTTGCCCCTGATGACCCTTACAAGATGAACTATGAAAATGTAATTTCTATTTTGAAAGAACATTTAGAACCATTACCAAGTGTATTAACATTACAACATTGCTTTGTGTGTAGAGTACAACAGCCGAATGAGTCAAATGATTGAATTTGCTATGGAATTAAAGAAACTGTCCAAAGATTGTCAGTTTAACTGTGATTGTGGAAAGTCAGTAACTGATATGTTACTACGCATGCAATTGGTAAGATGACTTCACGACCATGATATTAAAGGACAACTTTTACAGAAGAAAATTGTAACTACTTTTAAGGAAGCACTTTAACTTGCAACATCACTGGAAGCTTCGAGAACTGAAAGCAACATGATGACTGCTCAAGCAGAACCACCAGAAGTTCCAGTGCTCAAGGTTGTAGAAAATCAGACAAAGAAAATGGGACAGATACTCTGGGAGCAAGAACACTGTACAGGCAACAAACAAAGACCAATATCCTCCTTCCCGTTCACAGTTTTCAGTTCTACAAGGACGGTGTTATCGGTGTGGAGATAAATACCATAGAGCAAATACATGCAAGTTTAGAAATGAATTTTGCAATAAATGTAACAAAGTAGGGCATATTGAAAAAGTATGTATGGGAGGACCAAGAAAACAACCAATCAACCAACTAGACGACAGAGAGAATGAAAAACAGTTAGATCATACTACCTATGAATCTTATAAACTCCAAGTAAATAATAGTGATAAGTTTATTATAAAAATAGAAATTGAAGGAAAACCATTATCTATGGAACTTGTTACAGGAGCAGCGCTATCTTCAATCTCATTTCAGGACTATAAGAAAATAGATATCAATAAGAGAATGTTCAAATCACATGTACAACTTCGCACATATACAGGTGAAATCATACAAACTAAGGGAGTAGTATATGTTAGGTTCCAGTACAAAGAAAAGATATATTTTGGAAAGCTATATGTTATCGACCAAGATGTTGAACCAATATTTGGTAGACTGCAGAAGAGAAGTTAATTTAGAAATTGGTGATATTAGAATGTTGAATCAAAACTCATCTGAGTTGACACAGGTTCTTGACAGTTATTCGGATATATTCAGTAAGGAAATTGGTTGCATTCCAAATTGAAAAAGGACACCTGAATGTAAAAGAAGGCTGTGGTCCAATATTTGTGAAGCCGAGGCAAGTGCCCTGCTATTAAACAAAAGGTGGAAGAAGAACTCGATCGACTGGAACAAGAGCTGTTATTACAAAGGTCGAAAACTCTGAATGGGGCACGCCAATTGTGCCAGTAGTAAAACCTAATGTTTCGGTACGAATATGTGCAGATTACAAGACTACATTAAATAAAGTTATCCGTGATGAGAAATATCCAATACAAAGAATTGAGGACATCTTTGCAGAGATGAATGGAGGTAAATTTTTCTGTACTCTCGATGTTAGTTACTTACACATTCTGATAGTGCTATGCTACAAACAATAAGCACTCAGAAAGGTTTGTATAAAGTAAACAGGTTGATGTTTGGAGTGAAAGTAGCACCAGCACTGTGGCAAAGATTCATGGATAAGGTACTACAAGGAACTGATGGAGTTAAATGCTTTTTCGATGATATAATCATTCAAGGTACAGATTACAAGAGTACAATAGAGAGATTAAAAACTGTCCTAGAAAAACTTAGAGCACATAACTTGAAATTAAATTTTGACAAATGTAGATTCTTTCAACAAAGAATAACATACTTGGGACAAACGATTGATGAGAACGGGCTGAAAAAAAACTCAGAAAAGGTTAAAGCAATTATAGAGGCAGAAAAACCTAGAAATGTGAATCAACTACGATCTTTCATTGGCATGGCTAATTACTACAACAAATTTATACTGAGACTGGCCGAAAAACTATATCCATTGAATAAGTTGCTACAGACAGGATAGCGATTTGAATGGTCACAAGAATGTGAAAACAGCTTTATCAATGTTAAAAAGCACATAGCCAATGAAAACACTCTAGCACACTACAACCCAAAACTTCCTCTAATACTCTCAACTGAAGCCTCTCCTTATGGATTGGGAGCAGTAATTTCCCATAAGTTCCCTGATGGGTCGGAACAACCCATAGCTTTTGCTTCCCGATCTTTATCAAAAAGAAAAAAACAGTACAGTCAAATAGACAAAGAAGCTACAGCAATTTACTGGGGGGTAAAGAAATTCTTTGCTTATTGCTATGGACGAAAGTTTGTTCTTCAGACGGACCACAAACCTCTTGTTTCCATATTCCATCCATCAAAATGCTTACCGGCAATGTCAGCTACTCGATTATTGAACTACTCACTTTTCCTTGCTGGGTTTGATTACACAATTGAGTATAGAAGAACTTCAGACCACTGTAACGCAGATTTATTGTCTCGTTTCCCAGTTGAACAAACTCAAGATGACGAAGACTTATATTCCAAGTTCCAAATTAATCAAATAGCAGTACTTCCTCTCACTCAATGTACATTTGCAGAGCATACAAAGAAAGACCCTGCACTAGCTACAATAGTTACAGCACTAGAAAATGGAGAAAATCTGGAAAATATTGGTTTCCGAAATAACGACTTAAGTTTACATAAAGGTTGCATCTTTAGAGGTAGACGAGTTGTAATACCTAACACATTGCAGAAAGAAGTTCTCAAGGAACTACAAATTGGGCATTTAGGCATGTCGAAGCTATGGCACGAAGTTAAGTAGGCTATATTGGAAAAACTAGGATACTGATGTAGAGAACTTGGTTAATAACTGTGACAAATGCAAACAGAAAAGAAATGAACCGTCTAAATTAAACCACCACCCTTGGGAAGAACCTACAGCTCTGTGGCATCGCTTACATTTGGATTTTTGTGGACCCGTAAATGGAAATTATTTTTTCATAATTATTGACGCCCATACAAAATGGTTGGAGGTTATACATACAAAAAACACTTCTTCAGATTGGTGCATTCAAAATTTAAGTCACATATTCACAGCTTTTGGACTGCCAGTAATGATAGTAACAGACAACGGCTCCCAATTTACTAGTGTACTTTTTCAAAGGTTTTTAAGCAATAATAGAATTTGCCATAGGACTTGTGCACCTTTTCACCCTTTAAGCAATGGCCAAGCAGAACGATTCGTCCAAACTGTTAAGAAATCATTGGCTGCCATGAGCGAAGAAAAGGGAGACTTGCAGCATAAAATAGATCTACTTGTAACTCAGTTACGCAAAGCTCCAAACTCTACAGGACTCTCCGCTTATGTGTTAATGTTTGGGAGGGATATAAGAACGAAACTTAATGTGATGGCGGATAAAATAGAATGGAATAAAAAGACTACGTCGGAACACAAGCTGAAAAGAAATTTTCAGGTGGGGCAGAGAGTACTGGACTGGTGAGAAATTATTCTTCAAAAGAAAAATGGAAGGAAGGGAAAATAATTTCAAAAACAGGAAATGTTATGTTTAAAGTCAAGACAGACACTGGACTCACTTGGACTCGTCACTCAGACCAAATACTTCCCTTACATTAAAAAAACAGGCTGTAATGCTCATCAAGCATGACGTCACAATAGAAGACGGCTATGACGTATAAGTATTTATTTATTTATATTCCACTGAAAGATTAAAACAAGCAGCTGATCACAAACGGCAAAATTACGTCATTGCCGTCTTCTATCTTGACGTCATGCTTGATGAGCATTACGGCCTGTTTTTTTAGTGTGATCTTGGGAGAGTTGATGTATAGTTTTAAAGTATGTGTTCATTAATTAATTGTTTATGTTTACCAGTTTTGTAAATATAATGGATTGAGTAAAATAATGTATCTTTTGAGTTGAATCTAATTATTATACAATAGTATATTTTAAATAAAATAAACCAACACAAAGTTTACCTCATTTTGCAAAACGATGAAAAAATATGCTGTGAAATTTATGTGTTGGCACCAGGGTGAATCTAATTTGACTTCAGGCAAAGTAGTAGTTTGGATGAGTACATTGTTAAGTTTGAGTGTCAATCAATCACTGCAGAAATCTTATTTATCAGCAAACAGAACCACTTTAACACCATTGTTTTATACTGATATAGAATTTAGATTATATTTGTTTCTTAAATAACTTTCACATTTAGTATCAGTTTTGCTCTTTTCTTCATCTACTTCTAAGTTGGTTTTTTTTATATTTTAAACCTTATAGTTTGGATCAATTATAATCCTCCTATTAGATTTTGTGTCATATATTAAAATGTATGTCCAATCTTCTGTTTGATCCACCATCTTCAATGCAATGTATTTCTTCTACTACTTGCCAGACTTTTTTTGTAGTTCTTTTGCGATCATTGATCTTACAGCATGGTGTCTTGCATTACGCAGTAAGGCACTAAAGGGACAAGAGCCTACGACATGCGGAAGCGTTTCAGGCTCCTTGCAGTGTCTGCATAAGGTTCCATCCTGGCTTCACCCTGGTACGCTTCGTACTGGTACAACACCAGATATCATTTTTATTTTAAGGAGAATTTATCTATTCTCCTGTAGTAAGGCCATTTTAAGCGAATTTCCCATATTATTATTACCTAAGCTATTACCGTAGGTGTCATGGTAAGCCCTGGCGACTCAGACAGACCTATTGTCTGCTGTGCCCAGATCATTTTCAGACATAGCTGCGGCTCCTGTGAAGAACCAACAGCCACAGCTATCTACGACCAGTACAGGCATCCCTTCAGGGATGTTCCCGAAAGGGGTCAGTTGTAGAGACACCTGGGGCTGCGTGGGAAAAACGCCGTTCCCGAAGGGAGAAGAGGCAATTGAGGCGGGCGGAGGTCGCCTCTATTAAGAATGTGGCAGTGAAGGCACAGCCGACCGGCGTGGCCCAAACTGGGCCCGGCTCGGTCTCTGCTCCGAAAAAGTCCCGGCCAAAAAAGCCCAGGACGGCGGCAATCCTGGTCAAACCCTCAGGGGGGAGATCTTATGTCGAGGTCTTGGGTGCAATTAAGGCCAAGGCTAAGGCAGAGCAGGGTCGATTAGACGAATCTGGGACAGGGACGTTCTCCTTGAACTGGGTAAGTCGAAAGACAAAGCAGCCTTTACTGCCGAACTGAAGGCAGCTGTTGAAGGCCAGGGCACCGTCCGTGCTCTTGAGCCAAAGACATCAGTCGAGGTTCGAGACATTGATTGTGTGTCGACGGAGGTTGATGTTGTTGAAGCCCTGAAGAAAGCTATCCCCGAGCTTGGCGGGCAAACGGCTTTTCTTAAGGTGTGGCTCACAGTGTAGTGTATTTAAATCTGCACTACAGCAAGCGAAAGCCCTCCCACGAAGAAAAGAATCCTTCAGTGCAATCTTGAGCGATCCAGGACATCTGACGCACTTCTATGTCAGCTTGCCCTAAAACACGATGTCGACGCACTCTTAGTCAGCGAACAGTACCAGTACCGTGATAGGGACCCATCTTTTTGGTTCCCTGATAGCCTTGGTACTGCTGCATTCTGGGCGTGGGGGTCACGCGAAGGGCCGAGGTTTCGTTTGGGTTCGGTGCCGGGATGTCACTTACTTTAGTGTCTACCTCACTCCCAATGAGGTCATCCGTGACTTTCGTGAGAAGATAGACCACCTGGAAGAGAGCGTGCGCAATACCACAGGACACGTCGTCGTGGGTGGGGATTTCAATGCTAGGGCTGTCGAGTGGGGAATGACCCTCACAAAGTCCCGGGGCAAGTACATTCTGGACTTTGCTGCCAGAGCCGGACTCGTTGTCGTCAACGAGGGCAACAAGCCAACTTTCCGGTGCCCTGGGATGCGGGGAACGATCCCAGACATTACCCTTGCATCAGAGTCTCTTTTCCCAAGGATCAGAGCCTGGAGAGTCCTGGAGGATTACATGGCCAGTGACCAACAGCACATAATTTTTGATGTCCTAGATGGTCATCAGAGACAAGTAGCCGCGTTTCGTCAAGTGCCCGTCCAATGGAATTTTAAAAAAATGGACGTGGAAAAATTCAATGAAGCCATCTTACAAGGAACGCCGGTGGTTCCTCCCGCAACTAGCGTGGCTCACGCAGAGGCGGTAGTTACATCCATGATGGGACTGATCGTCTCGGCTTGCGATGAGTCCATGCCTCGCAGGTCGCAGGAGATCCCGATGCAATAAGCGACCTGTGTACTGGTGGACTGCCGAGATTGCGGAATTGCGTCGGTCAGCATTGAGAGCCAGAAGACTTGATACCAGAGCCAGAGAACCTGTAGACAGACGTCAACCTTCCACGTTCCGGCATACCTCATGCGTATCATAGAGGATTATCTCCGGTTCCGCCTCCTCATATATGACACTACAGAAGGCCCACGGACAATTAGTGTCACTTCCGGTGCTGCCCAAGGTTCCATACTCGGCCCAGACCCCTGGAATGTCGCGTATGACAGCCTCCTGTGGTCTGAAATGCCTGAGGAAACTGTTTTGGTTGGGTACGCAGACGACGTTGCAGTTTTGATAGCTGCACGTAGCGTTGAGCTGGCTCAGTTAAAGCTGAACCGAGTTATGCGTACCATAAACGCATGGAAGGCAGACCAAGGTCTCCCGCTTGCTTTGAGCAAAACTGAGATCAAAATATTAACAAAAAAACGGATTGAAACCACGGATCCAACCGTTGAGGGTAGGGGCCGTCGAAGTCCAGACCGTTGGTTCTGTCAAGTACCTTGGGGTTATGGTGGACAGCAAGCTTAGCTGGCAGGATCAGATTTTTTCCGTACGGCGGACAAGGCCGCTACGGTGGTTTCCTCTCTTAGCCAGTTGATGGCCAATGTCGGAGGGCCTCGGTCCAGCCGTAGAAGGCTGTTGATGTCTTCTGTTCAGTCCGTACTCTTGTACGGTGCGGAGGTGTGGGCAGACGCTCTCAATAAGGAGGTATATAGGATGCGGCTCGCCCGAGTGCAGCGTCAGGCAGCACTAAGAGTTGCATCCGCCTACCGAACAGTGTCCGAACCCGCCGTCCTGGTGGTTGCTGGAGTCATCCCCGTCAAACTTTTGGCAGCGGAGAGAAAGGCAATTTATCAGCGCCGTGGGGAGGACCAGGCACGAACAGAGGAACGCACCCGCACCTACCAGCTGTGGCAGGAGAGCTGGGAACAGGAGACTCGGGGACGCTGGACCAGGCGACTGATACAGCAAGTCGAACCTTGGGTTAATCGGCGGTGCGGAGAGGTGGACTTCTACCTCACCCAATTTCTGACGGGTCACGGATTTTTCCGGTCGTACCTGTTCAGGATAGCCAAAGCCGTGTCACCCGATTGCATATACTGCCCAGGCATTCCCAATGACGTAGAACATACCTTTTTCCACTGCCACCGTTGGGAAAGGCCCCGCCTGGAGGCTCAACAGTTAATAGGACTGCTGTCAGTGGACACGGTCATACCGATGATGATGGAGGGTGAGGACAATTGGACCTGTGTGTCACATTACATCCAGGGTATTCTCCACGCCAAGAAGCTCGACCTTGACCGGGATGCGGTGTAGGTCATAAAGTATCTAAATGCCAAAAACGGTGAGAGCCCTGAGGGCTTAGGTCACATGTTGGCCTGACTTGAAGTTATGTGACAAACAATTCCAGGTCTGTGTCCAACAGAGTAGAGGGGGTTTTTTAGTGAGTAGTCTGTGGTAGATTCAGGAGTCTCACACTACAGGCTGGCTACCTGTGTGCATAAAAGCATTTGCCCTCCTCTCCCTTAAAAAAAAAAAAAAAAAAAAAAAAAAAATGGTAAGCCCTGGACCCGGGCAAAAAAAATTATCCAATTTTGATGAAATTCGGTACAAACATGTCAACCTTTTATTCAAACGAGTTTGCGAACAATCATAATCAGACTATGGGAACTTTACTTTATGGGAGTTTCATGGAGTAAAAATTGATTTTTCCCATTTTTGACCCTAAAAACCAAAATTTCATAATTTCTCTTCAAACCATTTTGTAGAGCTTAAAAAAAGAAATAATTTTGTATATTGAAGCGTTGTTGTACCTATGCACAATGGTTACAAAGATAGTTACAAAAAATTGGAAATTTAAAATTCCCATGTTTTTATATTGAGAATAAATAAACTGTTTGCTTGTTTATATTTTAACTTCCTTCACTATACCCTATGATGTTTTCAAATGGTATTGGCAGCACTGGAATTCCTGATCAACTATCTGGTTCAACTAAAAGTCTGTTTGTTTTGTGCCATGCTCTGTTCTGCCTGCTTTCTTCAGAAGCTCAACTTTGGATATTTTTTTAGGTAATTTCCTTCATTTTTACTAAAATAAAAAAATATGTTTCTTGTTAAATATTTCATAGGTATTGATATTAGTTTAATGTAATTTACCACAAGTTATAAATGTTTATAAAAATGTTATGATGTAAAAATCCCATGAGTAAAATTTTACTCATTGGGCAGTTGCGGCTCAGGTCTAATGAAGATGTCTTATATTTTGATATTTTCACTTCCAGCAATATAAAAAATATAATATTGTATTAAAACCTATATTTTTATAACGTACTAAATTTAGTGTATTATATTTATGTTTTAGATCGTGAATATGGATAAACAATACCATACACACTCTGAAATAGAAGAATTGCTGCGAGGGGATTTGTCTGATATCGAGGAATTAGAAGATTTGGAGGGTTAAGTATATTACAAATAATATTCTTTTGATTAGATTATTAAACAATATGGACAGTGGACAGTTGTATTTTTACATACTTTTGCTTGAACATGTGAAGTAAATATTATAAAATGTATTTTAAAAAATCCCCTTGTGGACAAAAAATTTTCCCTTGCAATTTAAAAATTTTGTATTAACATTAGCAAGTATTTGTATTATTATTTGCTATATAATTTTTGGTATGAATATCACTCTATATTTTGATATAACAAATAAAATCTTAATAAAAACACAATTCTTGTCGATTTAATTTGCTTATTTTAAGACCTTTATTACCCAATGAGTATTATTTTCCTCATGATTATTTTTTTTATTAAACCTCAAAA